CCAGCCAAGGGCAAACCCATCACATATGGATAGCAGCATTTATCTCAGCCGTAAATCTCAGACTGAGAACTGTCACCTAATTTCCCTGCATGCACAACAAAAAAGTAAACTCCAGGATTGCATTCAAATGTGTGTATAGTCTTATCTGAATATACAAAACTCCATTAGAAAAAGTTGCAAGCAAATGATTGTACTGACAAAACTAGATTATACTGGCCTTTCTAAGGCTGATTATGTTCTTTTTTTTTTTTTAAATTAACAGTGCCTTACAAAAAATGATACATAAACTAATGATAGATTGACATGGCTCTGGGTGTTTAAAAGCCCAGAGCCCCTTCTTTTGTTGGCAGTATTTCTACTGAAGATGACAGAAGTTGTGGGCAGAACCAATGTACAAAGTTGGTCCTTGATTTCTTAAAGAAGGAAAAATCTGAAGGGGCTGCACAGGTTTACCTATTTAGGTATATGCTTTTTCCTTGGTAAAGCTAGTAGAAAGGTGGAAAGAGATCATTCTCACACACATAAGTAATAAAACTTAATAGTAACTCCAGTTTGGGATCACTACTATATCTAACAATAAATGCTATTTTTTCACATTTACTTCCCAAGGCAGATGAATAGACAATACGTGCATTATGGATGCGAAGCACTCTGCAATTGTTCACAGTCTTTGCCACATGAATTGAAATATGTTGCATACTGTTTAAAGCAAACATTTTGTGTGAGGCTTACCCATCATCCTGCCATGCTGCATGATAACAATGTTGGAATTGAGTGAAGCTGGTGGAGGGTAAGCTGAAGAAGGGGAAAAAGGCCTTTGAAAGTGAGTCACTGGGCTGGCAGCAGTGCCAGAGTTCCCATTCACTGTGATCTGAGCCTGAGAGAAACAAAACAATATCCCATTAAACTACACATAAAGCCCTCCGACTGCCATCCCAAACAAAGAGTGATGCAAAACTGTCATCCACACAATTACCAGTTGTCAGGTAGCTAGCCATAATGGCACCTGCATTCACTGAAATACAAAACTCGTCACAAGAGGAGCAGAACGTGTTCCTCCTATACCTTGTCCCGCCCCGCTTCTCTCCTTGTATGTGCGATCTGTGAAGCACGCTGAAGTCATGAGAAGGTGACAGTAAGACCACAGTCAAGGAAAGGAGGATGGCATAAACAAGGTCTGCAGAGATCTGACAGCAATATAAAATGAAGTAAAAATTCCTCTCATTGCATGACAAAGACTGCCTGTCACAGATCACTCACTCCAAGAGACACATTTCCTTAAGGCACATGCTCAAGCCCTATTGATATTAATGGGAACTTCTGTACAGACCAAGGGAAAAGTCCCATTAAGACTAGCTGAAGAGAGTGAGCCAAAGCTTCTTTAAAAGGTGGAAGCCAGCTAGAGTGACTATGGGATGCTATATGTAATTTATCACAATAAAAATAAATAGCACCAATTAAAAAAGCCACAACTGCAAACAAAAAGAACAAAATCAAAAACATAAAATGGAAAAGCTATGTAAACAGCCAGTATAGAAGCATCACAAGCCTTTAGTCACAAGAGGTTCTGAAACAATCTGCTTTCCTTCCCCAGGAAGAAATGTTTTCCTGTGAGGGTGGTGAGACACTGGAACAGGTTGCCCAGGGAAGCTGTGGATGCCCCATCCCTGGAGGGGTTCAAGGCCAGGCTGGATGAGGCTTTGAGCAACCTGGTCTAGTGGAGGGTGTCCCTGCCCATGGGAGGGGGGTTGGAACTTGACGATCTTTAAGGTCCTTTCCAACCCAAACCATTCTGTGTTCTCTTTCATGCTGTTCACTTCCCCAGGCTCCAGTATACTTTACCTGTGCTCCACTGCTAGCAGAGCTACCTACTAGCAGAGCTACCTACTTCTACAACTAGGTAATCAAACTCTTGTAAAGATTGCTCCTAGGTACTAGGTTTAAACTTCCTTTAATTTGCCTGAGCATCAGAAAGAACAGCTCTCTGGACTCCCAAATCAGAGCAGAGCAAAGCATCTATTACGTACTGGAGCTGCTTTCTCTCTGTTGAGGCAGGCAGCAAAGGCAAAGAGGTCCCATTACCAATGTCTGAGCAGTTTTGTGCAACAACGCTGCACAGCAGACCCCCACCTCAAGACATCAAATTAGGCCGAAATACTCAGATCAATTCTGGAAGCTTGAAACAGTCTTGGAACTTGGGAAAAGGCAAAAATCTAAGGTATACTTCCATTTCCAAGTTTCCACTAGTTTCCATGATTTAAAACTACATAAACAAAAAGAATGCATGAAAATTACTTTATAAGGGAAATGTTCATAACTGGAATAGCATCAGAAAAAATAGTTTCCAAAACCAGCTGTTCTCCAATTTTAACTCCAATTCTAAGCATAAGCCCAAATAAGAATTACAATTCTCATACTTCAGGTTTTAAAAGAAGCTGTAATCTGTGACTAGAAGTATGGACAACTAACCACAGTTTTATATTTATCTCTAACTTTTGCCTGGAATATTTTACAATTTTGCTGATTCATCTCTTCTTGATGCCGTTTCTTCTTCTTGGAAGATCTGCTGTAAAACCTTTTTGCCTAAGCTCTCATTAAGGACCTCAAGAATAAACAAACATCCCCAATGTGGACACAATGTCTTTGAAAGTGTGGTTCCATCTTATGCGGGCACAGTGCTGGATGGCACGATCCTATTACTCTGATTGTTCTCTCAGCAGGTTTCATCTACAAGACCAACAGGAGTCTCCTTTGAGAATGAAGATCATTACAAGAGCAGAGCCACTAAGAGCACACGTGTGCGCCACCAGCTTCCCCATCATTTTCTCATTTCACGGACACATTTATCGTCATCTGTCCCTCCTCTACAGCTGATGGGAAGAAAGACTTTTCTACACTGCAGAGGTGGGTCTTGCCAGCAGTTTAATTTCTGTGGGGCTCTTAGGACTGGTTGGGGATTTCTGCCTTTTGGTGGGAGACTCATCCTTTCTCTTTGTCCATTAATGGTGAACAACTGTTATGCTCATCCATGCCATGTCTAAGAGAGGAAGTGGTGGTCAGACTGACCATAACATATCCCTCCACAGGAGAGACTACCCAAAAAAGGAAAGAAGGAAGGACTGTTCACTTCAGCTTACAAAAATGTGCTCAAAGAAAACAAATACAGTTAGCTGATTATTTTAGAAGTAGGTTAGAAGAAAATATAAATGTTCCATGCTTTCCATAGCTAGCAAATGCTCATGTAGTGATTGTGCCTTATTTACACACACTAGTCTATATTGATTATGGTATCTGTGGTTACGGCTACTAGGCTGTATGCAGATTCACAGTACTGACTTTAAAAAAAAAAATCAGACCTGTGTTACAAAAGATAGGAATGACAGCTTTTACATGCCCGTTATTAATATTATTTTTTTACTTAACAGCATCCAGAGCACGGACAACAGATTATTGACTTTCCAGGTGACTGTGCAAGTTTGGGCTTAAAATGTTATTTATAAAATATACATGAAACTTTATATACACTGTGTTTTTTTTTGTTTTTGTGTTTTTTTTTTTTTTTTTTTCCCCAGACTTGAAAATGATGGCATGATGAAGTATTTGGACAAAGTTTCAACACTGTTGAGACCCAGTAAAACTTTGGTCTCAGAACATCTCTCTGTTTTGTAATTCAGCAACAAATTGCTCAATTTAAATGAAGGCTTTGTTCTGCCTCATTTTTATTATGCAGATAATCTCAAAAGAAATCAGAAGTGATCTGGATTTGACCCAAATTCCATACCTTTCTTCTACCCATACATGAGTGTACTAAGGTACAGAAAAGTGAATGTATGTATAAAACGTGTAATTGCATGCTGTTTTTTCCTTTACTTTACCAAGAGAAAAGTAACAGGACAACTGGGTACTACAAGATTATTTATGAAGTTCACTCCTGTAAGAAACTGTGCTTAGGAGAATAAAAGGTTAGAGGAGAGAAAACCGGTTTCGTGCAGTCAGTGATCATGGCTGGGGAAAAAAATGCGTTAACTATTGCCAGTATTTACTATGAAATTACAAGTTATATTACTGAAATCTGTACCTCAGTATAAACCAAAAATGCTGATAGCCCGAAGGCTACAAACTCCAAAAACCTGTACATTGCTAACAATATTTTAAACAAATCTCTTCAAACTCTACAGACTGCTGGCTTTCAATGCATTTGGAACAGATATTTATTGAATTTATTTTCAGTTATTTTAAGCAAAGTGTTTAATACACCTCAGCTGACCATACAACTGTGCGATAACTTAGTGCCATTTTTCTGTTACCAAATCTGCTATGCCAATGATTTTTTTTTTAAACAACTGTTGCAAAACATAACATCAGACTGTGAACACGGAAAACTACTAACGGAATACCTGTCTGTGTATCACGATAACAGACAAGTTTGAATTCTTTTCCCCTTTGACAACCTGTTTGAACAAAATGGAGGAGGAAAAAAGGAAGCATAATTACATGAGAAGTGGCAGCAGTGTTGGTTAAGGTGGTGCCATCTGACACAGCAGACATCTGGCTCAAGGTTGGGGAAGGTGTTTCAGAGCAGTCAGTAGTATCATAGCTGCAAGTCTGCAGCTCATCTAGAATGGCTGTGGAGGACTCACTCACTGTGCAGGAGGAGCACTCACTCATGGCAGAATCTGTGCTTACAGAGGCTGTTTCGTTCCTGTGGATAATACTTTCAGAAGCTAGGTATGGGTATTTATATGAAAACTGTGAAAGGGTTGGGGTTTTATAAAAGCGTGAAGGTAAAAAATCATCAAGCGTTGGCAAAGAATATGGTACTAGATGGGTGCCACTGTCTGGTGAGAAAGAGGTTCTGTTAACTGGTACCACAGGAGGAGGAAGAGGCAGTGGAGAAGCTTCTGTTGCTGTTTGTCTGTGTGTCTGTGAAGCATTTACCTCCATCACGGGGGCAGTTACTTTCTGGTTTCCAAGCTGAGATTTGAGGAAAAAAAAATAAGAAAAGAAACAGATTACCAAATGAATAAAAACTTTTCCCTTTGCCTCTTGCTGTGTGTAGGAGAATTACAAAAGTGTTTTCCAGCAGCCCGAGGAAATTCACACTCACGTGGATTAGGAGATAAATCAATCACACTCTATATTAAAGTAGGAAAACAGGAAAGAAATGAATGCATCAAATACTAGTGGAAGCAATGCCAGAAACCATAGTGTGCTGGGGATGAATATTCATAATGTACTGCATATATTAATGATCTCATTTGTGCACCAAGAAGGTTCACACTATTTTATACTTTTCATAAATATGAGGCTAGAGAACATCATGTTCATTTTGTTTGTAAAAGGAAAAAAGGATCTGTAAGTCTGATCTCTGTAAACGTCGCTCTCTTTTTGTCAAAGGACAGGTATTATTTTGAAATTAACTAATATACAGATGGGCAGGACTGCAAACTAAACGGAAACACTAATATTGAATGTTCACATGATCTGCAAGCAATAGGTTGTGGACTTTTTGCCTCTTGTGACTGAATACATCTTCTCCACTGCCTCTCTAATAGAAATGTTTGGATGATCTTAGAATTTCCAAGCACCCTGGAAGCACCCTGTCAACCTACTAGATAAGGTGTCACACATAGGAGCCTTTTCAACATGAGAGGACACAAGGATTGTTAGGGTAACTGGTATAAATCTGAACAACAACAAAGATTGGGAGCACAAGAACAGGACAGGGATGACTTTGTACTCATACAAAAGGCCTTAGTTGTTTGGCTTCAGCATAATTCCTTAAATATGGGAACATCCTCAGGAGAGTGCTTCTGAAAACTGCCACACAACGTATGAGCTTTATGTTCTCTTTTTTTTCAAATCAGACACATGACA